TTCAGCCACTGTTATTGTTACCTGCAGTTCTCTATACCTCTGGCACTGCCCAGTCAGTCAGTTATAGGGAGCTACAAGGTGCCTTTCAAATGAATCAAGAGCAGAAATCCTTGATCACCCAGGGAAGGGTATGCATCTTGCGGTATGACCCGGGAATGCCCTGGGGGCTGAGAACCGATGATGTATGACAAGGAACTCCAGAAGCTGACGGGTGGAAGCCTTGTTGATAAGATTAGAACCAACGCCTGGTGTCTGGGGTGACAATACGTGATTGTAAAACAGCCAATAATTATCTGGTCAGCAAGCTCATGCCCCACCCCAAACCCCAAGCCCTAGACGACAAAATACATTCTTTAGTTTCATCCTTATTTTTCTCCTTTTCCTCCTACCCCACATAACTGATGCTGTGTGATTATTCTATTAATTAAGAGGCCAGGATCTTGCTACTCAGCAGCAGCCTGCATTGTGCATGCAACCTGCTCCACAAATATTCAGGATTCAGTTTCTTTATCAGTGTGGTGTTGCCTGGTGCAACAAAAAGGTGTGACTTAGGCCATAAAATAAGGAAATCTGGTCTCTAAGCTTTTAATATACATCTGCTAAGTTGCTGGGAGTCATATTAGGTTGCTTCTTCTAAATTGACAAGTCGTAGGTAGGCAGGGACAAGCTAAGCCTGGTAGTCACAGTGGAAATGAAGTGTTCAGACCAACTGACTATCCCAGAACCCAGTCTTGCACTTTCTCTCATGTGATCACATTCGCCCAACAGATAACTCTGTCCAGGTTGACCTGGACTTCCGTTTTATGTCAACCGAGCAGCTAACAAAGAAAATAACTTAGAAGACTGAAGACAAGTGCAAGTTCGATCCCGCCCACAGTGCTGCACTTTAACTGGATGCCTGATGTGCCACCAGAGAAGGCCCAATGAATGTCTTTTCTTAAAAAATAAACAAAAACCTCCAGATTAATATTTTTGCTGACTGGTGGGGCAAAGATGATTTTAATTTTCTTTTCCCTTGTTCTCCCCATTTTCAAAGCCCATTTCTTTAAGACTCCGTTGCTACCATATTAGAAAGTTATCAAGATTTGCAGTTACTTTGGCCTGCCTCACCCCTCTGTCTTTCACTATTTGCCAGCACTTTCCTATTCTCAGAAAATCCTCATACTACCCTTAACTTTAAAAACAGTACATTTTGGGTCCTCCCTGGCGGTGCAGTGGGTTAAAGTGCAGAACC